TGATTTTTATGTTTCCATGCCTTCAGTACGATTCCTCACTTCCAGAGACACATGTTAGTTTCCAGTATATAAAAAAGGGGTAAGTTCAATACATAATAATTTGATTATTTGTCAGTCTCATTATTTCATTTGAGCTGAAAGAGCATAATCAATCACAATTAGTATTTTAAATGAGTAAATCATATTGAAACTCTCCCATCTTAGCAACAAGACCTGTCTCTCAAACTAAATATAGATTGACATGTTTTTTTTTCTTGCTGAGAGTTACAAGATTTATGCAAATGTAATATCTGTACACTAAATATAAATGCACAGAATGTCTAGATGCAACATGTGGGTGTGGTTTAATTTGTGATGAAATGGGACATAACTATACTTTTTTTTTTGCAAGTTAAAATCAGAGGCAAAATTATTATTTATTTTATTACAAAGGTCTAGACAAAACTGGACAAAAAACGGTCCAGAATGTACTGGAAGAAGTTTTCCTTGTTGATAAGATATGTAGCATTGGAAAATATGCTTTGGTTTGCTTCCTGCGATTGGGTGGGATAATATTCTAACAGAAACTAAACCGCACCAGGGTTCAGGACCACCTCTTGCAACTGGCCTCGTACTGCGTTAGATGGGGAAATCGCCCTAGGAGGCCGGATCTTCTTCTTTAAATAACCTCTTTTGTTGCTCTATGTCTGTTTAGTATGTGAACAGGTATCACTTTGCTAACATATACAATTATACATTTGTTAATTTGCCACCAAGTGATCAAAGACAATTCTGTCCTGGCTTTTCGACCAGAAGAAAGACAGAAAAGCATGCTTAAATGCTTTCATAAAACTGCAGAAATGTGTGAGGCTTAAATGCAATGTTGCAAAAGAATAGGACACGTAATGGAATGGAACCATCATCATTATGATTACTTTCCATTCTTTGACGAGTTCAAATGTGTGCTGTGTAAACGGCCGTTTGACTAAAGTATTTTCTCTGTCTGGCTGAAACTTTCTAAGTGTCCAGTCTTTTAGAAATATTGACTTCTTGGATACTGGAATGCACCAGGGCTCCATTCTGGGACCACTGTTGTTCAGACATCTATTCTTATACAGACCATAAACAGATATTTAAATTCTGCAAGCCTGTTTTAGGCAGGAGACACAGACCCACATTTCCTGTATACAATATAAAATAACACAAAACAACACTTCACCACACTCTTTTGGGTTGTAAGCTTTCCTAAAACTGATCAAATCGAGACATTTTATTACACACTCACATACAATAAAACAGAAGCACTGCCTTTTATCCTCTTAGGAAATACTGAAAAGGTAGAGCCACATGTCTCCCATGCAGATACAACAGACTTATGAATGCCTTTTCTTTGCAGACCTGATTATAAAGCTTCCCCTTGTGACCCACCTAAGAAAGCTTTACAAAAAATGCAGACCAGCCCCAAGGAAGCAGCGTGTGTGCCAGAGTCAGCAGGAAAGGACATAGAATGAATAGATCCACCTCTCATTGGAGTAGAGACAGTTTACATGTCGAACATGCTTTTAAGACGTTTTCCTGCTAAATCTTATTTTTCATCCGACAATGGCCTCAAGGATTCAAATGCTTCATTGTCAAATGCACAATAGTTATAGGGCCCGATTAGGCTTTTTGGGGTTTTCCTTTCCTGTAGTGTGTTCTATAGGTTTTTGTGCATGTAAATGATCTGCAAGGGCTCAAATCCCAAAATGCATGCCAGAGGGAGTTTCTCTCCCACACACTCTTTGTATGCTTCTGGAACATGCGGACAACAGTATGTAACACTTGCGTATCTATTGGCTAGCACTCTAAAACATTGTACGTGTATACATTGTATAGGCTAAAGAGCGGGACTTATCTAAGCGGTTGACCAATCAATCAACCAATCAGAGCCCGCCAGCTAACCAATCAGAGCAGACTGGGGTCTGGTTTCAGACAGAGGGTGAAAAGAGGTGCTGCAGCACAGGCAATATAAGAAAAATAAAGAGTTTTTTGAACATTAAAGCATGGAGACATGTCAGAGTAGAGGCACAAAATACAAATATGAACCTCACAATGACTTTAATATGTCCCCTTTAAACTATTTTTTTTCATTTTGAAATGAGCATAATAGGGCCCCTTTAAGTCCCAGGCTCCTCCAACAAAGCAACATAAACACACCTTGGATATAAAACAATATAAATGGTGCAAACAAAAATAAATTAAAAAAATAAAATAGTGCGAGAGATCTACCATAGAGAAGTGTGTTTCTAGTGTATCTGGAGCTGATGGCATCCAAATCAATATCATTTTCAAGCAAAATCTTGAGACATTATTTAAGCCCGTAGGTAGGCTGTATAAACTAACCCTTCCTTTGATTTTTTTTGCGGGATCTCTTTGTCATCTTTTTAGTTTATGTTATTGAGGGCTATCAAATGCTTCATCATCAAGGGACAGTTGCTCACTGAGGTGTTGTTCCTATGAATATGAGCCTTCGGGATGCACAGAGTGGACTGGTTGATGTCTATGAGTTTGAGTGAGCTATTTTGGTACATAGGTTTCACACTGAGTACAGTAAAAGACTAAATGTTTTTCCTTCACTTTTGTACTGGAATCTTGCACGAAAAGCCCCACGTCAATAAAGTTTGATTAATCGATTGGTTGTTAAAAAAAGAGCTTGCCACATGTGTGTGTCAGAGTAGCCGCAGTGTTCCCATGGTGTTTGCAGCGCACCCTGTGTTCGTTTATCAGAGTGTGATAGTATCAGTGTATGCTGTGAACCTGTCTTACAAAAATCTCACTTGCTTCTCTGCGGCTGCAAACAGACACACACAAACCACCTACACCCACCCTGTCACTGACACACACCCACCCGATTGGCCGCTGTTGAAGCAAGGCATAAGCTGTTCCCTAGCAACAGAGAGCTGGCTAACCAATAGGGGGCCTTCTGTGAGGAAGGGGCTAGCTTGCCAGTGTGCTGTTACTAAGGTGCAGAGAGGACCGCTGGGGTTCTCTCTCCGCATGTATATCCGTGTGTGTTTGTGTGTGTGTGTTTTGTCTTCATATCTTCATTTAGCAGGTATCAGAAGCAGCAACTACGCACTGCTAAATAACGGGCCTTTTGCTAGAGTTCTTGCACTGATGCATGCACATTTTGATTAAAGTTAGTGAGTAACAGTATTTAACATTTTACACACAATAAGTGTGTGTGTGTGTGTGTGTGTGTGTGTGTGTGTGTGTGTGTGTGTGTGTGTGTGTGTGTGTGTGTGTGTGTGTGTGTGTGTGTGTGTGAGAGAGAGATGGAGAGAGAGCGAGCTCGTATGTATAATGTGCTCTGTATATCTCTGAAGCCTACGATGTGTGTTTTTCACTTGCTGCTGATTCTCCTTTTGGTTTCATTAGCTAATGCTGCGACTATATTATCATCCGGGATTAGCGTGCTTGGGTCCCTCCAACAGCCTGAGTCAAGACATAGCCAAAAAATTATATTAAAATGGTGTAATCCCCCTGCTTGGTCATAGTACAGAAACAAATCTTTCTTTATTTCACAGGGTCAAACCTTGTGCCTCTCCCCCTGGATTATCTTAATATGTGGGTTAACATTGTGTTATGTCACAGGGGATGAAGGTATCCTCCTGACAGTGGGCAACAAATCCTTTTAGTCAAATCAATGTGCGGCAGTGAAATGATAGATATGACCAATGCACTATAGAGCTGTTTGTCCAGGGTGATAGTAAAGCCAAATGCAAAAGTTAAAATTACTGAAATGTAAAGCTTCTATAATTAATATTTTTAATAATAACAATGGATAGAATGACTACATGTACTGTAAAGTGAAATGAGTGCACATAGTAATAAACATACAGAGGGTTATCAACTGACTCTACTAGAGCTGTAATAACTCATTTTTACAGCCATGTATGGATTACTGAAAAAAACCACAAAGGGTACAAAATAACAACAAAGAGGCACAAAGACACAGAACAAATACAACAACACACAAAACAACTATAAAGAGACACGTAATGACAACAAAGATGCACAAAACAATAACTAAGAGACACAAAGCAACTACAAAGAAACAGAACACATATCAAGACACACACAACAACACCAAGACACAAAACAACTACAAAGACACACAAAGCAACCACAAAGAGACAACTACATTACAACAAAGAGAAACGAAGCAACTACAAAGAGACACATAATGGAAACAAAGAGGCAAAAAACACATCCACAAATCAACTACAAAAAACACAAAGCAACTACAAAGAGACACAAAACAAGGACAAAAAGACAACTATACAGTATGACTTGCTTCTGTAAGAGGTGGCAGGGTCTTTCTGCATGTCTGTGTCTAGTGCCTAGTCTTTATGAATTATTATTATAATTTACCTTTAAGCTACATTTGTGGAGACAGGACAATGTGGAAACATTACACCTGTAATCCTCAGAGATAATGTGTTTGTTCTTGGTGTTACAATAAGACCTCACTGATAGGAAGGTTAACAATTAGATCATAGAAAACAGAACTAGAGTAACGTGACATTTATCTGTGGTCTCTTTACTTTAAACGTTCTCAGACATCATACAACTGGTCATGCTATCCGATGTAAGGCATTACAACTTTTAAAATCAAACTACTACATTGACTTACTCTACACTCATAAATCTCATACACACAGGGGTTGAGATTTGTGAGGTCTAGTCTTCTTTGTTAGATATAACCAAGCGGCAAAAGGCAAATCTAAACTAAAGGCATTTTAGGAAACCAAATGTAATGGATGGCTGATTAAGTTACATTTTGAGTGCCAGTAATGGTATTTTTCTCCTAAATGTCAACTTAAACTGCCGTAAACCAGAAGGGTTTTTAAAAAGAACGATGTTTAGGACATCCTCAGTTTGGTTAAACAAAAATCTTGCAAATGTAATCTTATCTGAGTACACTAAGTGTTGTATTTGTGTGTACCGGTGTTGTGTTAGCGTGCTCGTAAAAGTCTTACCGAGTTCCCTTTGCTCTGCATGAGGCTGAGGTCCTGCTGCTCTCGTGTGATGGGTGAGGACTTCAGAGGGGGGGAGAGGGTGAGGTCCCGACGTAGAGGCCGTGAATCCATCTTTTCCCCTGGTCTGTCCAGCTTGTGCTGTGAGTCTTTGCCCCCTTCCTTGCCCTCTTTTCCTTCCCTCCCCTCCCTCCCTTCACAGTTCTTATGCCTCTGTCTCTGCACGGTGTGGGAGCGCCCCTCTCCGTGAGCATGCCCCTGCCTCTCCTCCCCGTGCCCATGGGGCTTGTGGGTAGTGGAGTCTCTGGGCTGTAAAGGCTTCATCTCCATCTCATAATTGCTAATTTTCTCCTCATCCTGCTCCAGCAGCCGCCCCCCCCCTATCGCGCACGCCCCTGTGCCCCGACGTCCAAGAGGCAGAGGAGGACGACTCCGTCCACTTGTCCCCCTTGGCCTGTCTGTGATTGGATGATCCATGCTCCCGGGACTTGTGATTGGAGGAGCTGTGTTTGTGTCCGTTGGTCCGGCTCGCTCCTCGCCCACTGACCCCTCCTCCTCCTTTGGACAAAATCCCTCTCCTCTTGTCCTCACCCCAGCTGTTGGCCCTTAGGTACTCCCCCTTCCCTCCCCCTCCTCCGTCTTCACCTCCCCCACTTCCACCCTCCATCAACACCTGAATCTCCGTTTGCTCTCCTCCTCCTCCACCCTTCTCAGCCCTTTCTCCTCCATCCTTCGCCTTGTCCCCATCATCGACGGCGCTCTGCCGGTGGAAACGGGCACTTTTGCTCCGATGGGACGGCCTGGCAGGGGGAGGCGGGGTGTGTGGTGGCGAAGAAGAAGAAGGGGGGCTGAGGTCAGGGGTAGCGGCATCGTTAGAGGGGTCGTCGGAAGCTGCGCTCTTTACGTAGAGATCGGGGCTGTCGGCGGTGCCGGCGCTACTCGACAACCCCTCGCCCTCCACCTCGCTGGACACCTGACGTTTCGGACGCTGCACCTCCATGCCTGCAAACGACAGATGACATCATGAAAATGTACATTTTGTGTGCGGATGAATCATAGATATAATGTATAAATATAACTGGCTGCAGCAGGGCCGGTTCCCTAGGCGAGATTTTAGCTGGCAGTGACAGCGCCAGTTACAACTTGTCGCCTCAATGATTTAAATAGGGCTTATTCAAGTGTCACACTGATTTACAGATGTCTCTTTCCCAATGTCAATTGGAAAAAGTATTTTTTTTGTGCAATTACGTGGTTAACGCTGAAGTTGTAATACCACTGTGTCGCCACTACGAAAATGTGTTTTATCGGCTCACTTCCTGGGAGCTCGCTCTAAAAGGAAGCAGCATTAACAAAGCAGTCCATTAGATGCATTCAAACGAGTAGTATATACACTGACCAAAAATATAAATGCAACACTTTTGTTTTGAGATGAACTCAAAGATCTAAAACATTTTCTATATACACAAAATAACCATTTCTCTCAAATATTGTTCACAAATCTGAAAAAATCTGTGATAGTGAGCACTTCTCCTTTGCCGAGATAATCCATCCCACCTCACAGGTGTGGCATATCAAGATGCTGATTAGACAGCATGATTATTGCACAGGTGTGCCTTAGGCTGGCCACAATAAAAGGCCACTCTGAAACATGCAGTTTTGCTTTATTCGGGGGGTCTGGGGGGGTCCGAAAACCAGTCAGTATCTGGTGTGACCACCATTTGCCTCACGCAGTGCAACACATCTCCTTCGCATAGAGTTGATCAGGTTGTTGATTGTGGCCTGTGGAATGTTGGTCCACTCCTCTTCAATGGCTGTGCCAAGTTGCTGGATATTGGCAGGAACTGGAACACGCTGTCGTATACGCCGATCCAGAGCATCCCAAACATACTCAATGGGTGACATGTCCGGTGAGTATGCTGGCCATGCAAGAACTGGGATGTTTTCAGCCTCCAGGAATTGTGTACAGATCCTTGCAACATGGGGCCGTGCATTATCATGCTGCAACATGAGGTGATGGTCGTGGATGAATGGCACAACAATGGCCCTCAGGATCTCGTCACGGTATCTCTGTGCATTCACAATGCCATCAATAAAATACACCTGTGTTCGTCGTCCATAACATACGCCTGCCCATACCATAACCCCGCCACCACCATGGGCCACTTGATTCACAACATTGACATTAGAAAACCGCTCACCCACACGACGCCACACACGCTGTCTGCCATCTGCCCTGAACAGTGAAAACCGGGATTCATCCGTGAAGAGAACACCTCTCCAACGTGCCAGACGCCATCGAATGTGAGCATGTGCCCACTCAAGTCGGTTACGACGACGAACCGGAGTCAGGTCGAGACCCCAATGAGGACGACGAGCATGCAGACGAACTTCCCTGAGACCGTTTCTGACAGTTTGTGCAGAAATTATTTGGTTATGCAAACCGATTGTTGCAGCAGCTGTCCGAGTGGCTAGTCTCAGACGATCTTGGAGGTGAACATGTTGGATGTGGAGGTCCTGGGCTGGTGTGGTTACACGTGGTCTGCGGTTGTGAGGCCGGTTGGATGTACTGCCAAATTCTCTGAAACGCCTCTGGAGACGGCTTTTGGTAGAGAAATGAACATTCAATTCACGGGCAACAGCTCTGGTGGACATTCCTGCTGTCAGCATGCCAATTGCACGCTCCCTCAAAACTTGCGACATCTGTGGCATTGTGCTGTGTGATAAAACTGAACATTTTAGAGTGGCCTTTTATTGTGGCCAGCCTAAGGCACACCTGTGCAATAATCATGCTGTCTAATCAGCATCTTGATATGCCACACCTGTGAGGTGGGATGGATTATCTCGGCAAAGGAGAAATGCTCACTATCACAGATTTGTGAACAATATTTGAGATTATTTTGTGTATATAGAAAATGTTTTTGATCTTTGAGTTCATCTCATGAAAAATGGGAGCAAAAACAAAAGTGTTGCATTTATATTTTTGTTCAGTGTAGACAGGGTTGGGTTGTAACGGAATACATGTAACGGCGTTACGTAATCAGAATACAAAAATCAAGTAACTGTATTCAGCTCGCGTTACATTTGAAAAACGAGTAATCTGATTACAGTTACTTTCGTAAACCTGAAGTGAATACATTTTGGATTACTTATTGGAATTATTGGTGGAAAGATTTCCTCACAACATTTAATATTCATTACTAAAGGTACAGCCGAATCATCACAGCCCACAAAACCTATTACCGCCGCAGATGGACCAAAAAAGCGTTTGAAAAAAAATCGCGGGTCCGCTCAGTGAAACAATAACAGCGAAACATGGAGGAACACAAGTCTGCGTTTAAATCGGGTGTGTGTGGTTAAAACACATCAGCCTGCGGTCGCTCTTTCTTTAGCCTTACTAATGATTATTTCTGAAGGTAAACACAGTGAAGGCGGTGCGTGAAAGGCACTGCGTGCTCGTCTTCTCAGAGGCTGAGTTAACCCTCCCGCTGCCTCCTGGCGCTGCAGAGATTTCATGAAGTGAAGGAGGTGTTCCTTCTATAAAACAGCTGCGGGCAGCAGATACTGTGAGAGTCACATGAATTCATAGATCAAGGCAGACTGGTGCACACACTCTCCTGTTTTGCCAATCCGGTGCTTAAACAAATATAGCTCCACACCCCTGGCCGTAATGTCCTTAAAATGAAGTCCGAGTTTGACATTTTAATTAATGTCCTGCCAACACTGGCAGGACAGAAGGCGACACGCTGGTTCTAAGCCGTGTCCCTCACTCCTCACATCCCAAACTGCATCCCCAAAAAGTTAATTATGTTGTTACATCGTTTCAGATGTTGTGTTTCAGTTGTGCTCTTGATAAGCCATTAAAACAGTAAAAACACATTCCTTTTGCTTTTTGTGTCTCCTGTTCACCAAAACATACCCATCTGTGATGGAAAAAGAAAGTAATCCAAAAGTAATCTAAAAGTAATCTGATTACGTTACTTTTTTAAGACACGTAACTGTAACTGTATTCGGATTACTTTCAGAGCCATGTAATCAGTAATCAGTAACTGATTACATTTACAAAGTAACCCTCCCAACCCTGAGTGTAGATGTCCTCACAATAGAAACAGACAGCCGCTGAGAGCAGAGTAGATGGCAAAAGAACAATCACTGTCATCTCAGGTATCAGTGTGTGGGAGTGTACAGTACGTGTCATAAAGTCAGTGTGTATGTGTGTGTTATTGCGCTGTCTAGTGAATGTTCTCGTGGGTTGGCTACCTGCAGTGCTGTACAGGTGTGAGTGACAGAGGCAGAAACACCAAGCTGGAGGGTGGTTTACACTGACCTTTATCCCCATCCCACACACGCATTTATGAGGACATGTGTGGTATATGAGTAAATATGTTTGTTGTGATTTTGTGTGCCCACCGTTTCCTGGGTGCTGGAAGGAAGGGGAGAACTGCTTGGCGGTGACCCTAGCCATGCGACTCTCCTCCTGGGCTTTCTGGGAAGCTCCGACCGCTGCATCTGCTTTACCCTGCGCATGAGCCGTCCTGAGACATAGAAGACAGGAAGCAGAATGTGAAGAGGACAATAAATAAAATCTAACTTAAAATAAGAACTTGAAATTCAAAAGAACATTAACGAAAATGCTCTACTAGGTACAAATGAAGCTGCAGTAACTGACCTTTGGAAGAACAAAAGTGCCAACGGTGCACCCCGTTTACAGTTTTCACTGAGATAAAGTTGGACTATTTGTGTTTAGCCCTGGGTTATTCAATACACACAAGACTCAGTTCACCTCTATAAACTTAATGTTGGATTCTGCTGTTGTTTGAGGTAAATTGGTGTTGGGATACCTTTCGATGTGGACAAAATGCTTTGATAGTTGGAAGAATATTAACAAATGTAAATGAAAGAATTGGTTTGTTCTCATATTAGTTCAAGAAGGAACTTTATGACTTTGTTCCGACCAACAAAAAAAGCAACTAGTCTGACTAGACTAGTTGACGTGCAAATGATTTAGAGAACATAATGTACATTTTACCCTTTTTCAACAGTGTATTTTGAAATTACTACCACTTTGTTCTTATAGTTGTCTGACAAAACATAAGAACAGCTATTGTAAATAATGTGTTAGGCTGTATTAAAGCATAGTGTGGTTGAGCTGGAGGGGACATAACAGAGCTTTAGCTAGCTGAGAATCAGCAGAGTATCCAGAATTTGTGTACGACTCATCAACAGACGTGAGCTATGATTCAGAGTGTTGTTGTTTGCCAACTTAAACAATTATGATGAAGAAACAAGAATGAAGCCTTTTTAATGACGTGTGCAGTTTCAGTTTGGTTGCAAACATTTTTGAAAACGTCCTGAAACACTTTGCGATGACACGCATCAATTTCTCATGCTAACTGAGTTTTCTAATTAACTGGCTTGGTGTGGATGTCCATAATTTCTTATATGAAGATTAAGTAAATTATTTAGTTTTGCCCAAACAAATAATGTAGTTGTTGCCCGATATAAGTTGACAGACGCTTCAGTAGTGGTTGCTAGCTAGCATACATGTTTTCGCTCAGATAAGATATCTTTGCTAGCTAGGAACATGACGTGGCTAAAATCTGATTCGAAAAATGTCTCTTATATGATTCAAAAATGAATCTGAGATGGTAGCAGGGATTTAGATATATTAGATTAGTCATATGTAGCTTTAATGTGCATTTGTTAAATTAGGCTTTGTATGAATCATTTTGTACTTTTTTACTGTTTGCCGGTAATACATATGACATTCTCCTATGAATATGGAAAGCAGCAATAAAGAAGTTGTGCACAATATAATGGCTCTAGATCAGGCCCTGGCCAACTTGTGGCCCCACGCAAAGTTATATGATGAGGGCCCTCTGTGTCGCGAGCGTCGACACGGGGGGGGGGGTGCTAGTGGAGCCTCGCAGCGGTGAAACTGTGGCGCGCTTACACTGTAGGTGCGCCGCATTTGCGCTTCAGATGAGGCACCCTCCGCAAAATGAAGCACCCTCCGCAAGCTGAGGCCCCCTCCGCGAGGTGAGGCCCCACGCAGTCTGCATGATCGGCCTGTAGGGAGGGGCGGCCCTGCTCTAGATTAACAAACCCCAGGAAAAAGACGTCTCAAAGAAAGTTTGTTAACCACTGCACAACCAAAACTGAAAGAGGTTAGCTCGTTTTGTTTTCCCCAAAGTGAGTGTGTTGTTAGTTGCTAGGCTCTTAAGGAAACAAAAAGCAGCCAATACTTGTAAAATACCAAGGAGGTAAAAGTTGTTGTTTTCCATTTTAAATAATACATCTACCTACAATCAAATGTTGTTAATTCTGAGGTATCCTTATGAAAAGAACATGCGGCATACACCCCTACATTGATATCTGGGGTATCTGTTCTATTGTGTGATGTTGTGACTGACAAATCTCATTATAAAAGACACCTGAGCCAGAGGGTGAGAAACACACACACACACACACACACACACACACACACACACACACACACACACACACACACACACACACACACACACACACACACACACACACACACACACACACACACACACACACACACACACACACACACACACACACACACACACACACACACACACCATGAACACCATATCACATGATACCTCACACAGTAGCAATGGGAGGAGAATTATGACAGAGCTACAGTACAATGAGGTGCTATGTATTCATCTGGCTCTGTAATCATGTGCTTGAAGATGTGTTTACTATCACAAAGTAATTTATCTCACTGCACCGCCTCTGCCTGTCGGGCTTTTCACATCTCCGTCATCCCTCTAACTGCTCCTTTACACCCTCCTTTTCAATATCTCTCTTTTTCTTCCCATGTTCCTTTCTGCCTCTTCCTAATTGCTCCTTCTTTCTTCATCAGAATCCCCTTTTCATCTGCCTCTTGTACCATCCCCTCTTTTTCTCTGCTTTTATCAAATGGATCTCTTTCTCTCAATTACAGCCCTATTCTCTCACCTTTGTCTCTTTCTTTCCATTTGCCTATCTTTCTATGCCGAGAGGCTCTCGACTTGTGTAAAATAACCTCTCCATCCCTCCCTCCCTTTGGTCTCTATGGGCAGTAACAGTCTTGATGCAGTGTTGCATGTTGATGGCTATTGATCTTTTTCCTCTCTGCTTCTCTTTGCCCCTCTCTGCACTCTGCCAGGCCCACAGTGAACCCAACACCATGAGTGTGAGCGCATGCCTGTTGGTTGTGAGAGAGAAGGGGTGTACATTTCATAATATATAACATTACCATTACCAAGTACCTCTAAAAACAATGTAATCCATAACCTCATCTAAGTATTAGACTATAAAAATAATTTACCTGAGCCTAACCCTAATTTCTGTAACTTTTGGATGACCTCAATATCAAATGCATTGCAAATAAATACAAGAAAAGGGAAATATCAAGACGATTACTTTTACTTAATTGTATTATATAAGACAACAGAACAATACAACTTTAGAAAAAAAGAAAGCAAGATATTTTGTTAAAAATATGTCTGACCCACACATTGAGAGAAATGTATTTAATTTAGCATATTAAAACAGTAGTCTATGGAAAATGAAACACATGTCCATACTGTATAGTCCATTTCAAAAAAGCAAAAGTAAAATCTGAGCATACAGAAAATGCCCTGTTTTAGTTTAAAGAGGACATATTTGAATCATTTTGAGGTTCATATCTGTATTTGTTGCCTCCATGCTTTAATGTTCAAAAAGCTCTTTATTGTTCTCATACTGCCTGTGCTGCAGCACCTCTTTTCACCTTCTGTCTGAAACCAGAGCCCAGTCTGCTCTGATTGGTTAGCTGGCCGGCTCTGTTGTGATTAGTCAACCGCTTAGAGATGTCCCGCCCCTTAGCAAATCACGTGAAATGTGTTGGCGCGCTACCCAATAGAAACGTGAGTGTTGCATACTGATGTATTTATGTTACAGAAGTTAACAATGGAGTCCAATGGAGGCAAACACAGGGATTTTAGCCTATGCAGACCATTTACATGCACAAAAACCTATATAACACACTACAGGAAAGGCAAAACCCCAGAAGCAGTACAGGGCCCCTTTAATACATACAGTAGATGGCGAAATGTCCACCCAGTAAAAAGCATTCTCTGAACTAGAGGCCACGATGATGTACTGAAGATAACCTATGGTTTTAATCGAGACAGGTGATCTAAAAATGTATCAATACATTGTAATCCTACTATCAATCCAAATGTGTCAAAAATGCACCAGTAATCCCATCACATTATTTTTGATGTGATTGTAAGGGAATACGGTTACCTTTTTTTCTCCTTTTAATCCTAAGGCGCATTCATACTGCGGTACTTTTCCCACAAAGGTTCATGTGAACTTAGTTCATGTGAACTCTTTTATCGCGTTCACACCAAAAAGAGCCGGTACTAAAATTAGTTCATGTGAACCTTTTTACCCCCACGAAAGTCCCTGCTAGAGAGCAGGGACTTTCGAGCGGCTCTCTTGTGAGAAAAGAGCTATATTTCTGATTGGCTGGAAGGATTGCAAACCACGCCCCGCAAAACTCCCAAAAAGTTTTGTGAAGCCGCCATTTTATTATCCTCGCATTAGCATTATTAGCATTAGCCCAGCGCAGAAACGCAGAGAGACTAACTTATGGCAACACAAAATAAAACATGGGAGCAGTGGAGATGAGGAGGTGTCGGCGTTCTGGCGATTTACTCGGAAGACTTCAGTAGAAGCTGCTGGGACTCCCAGCAGCTTCTACTGAAGCCAGTCCCCAACTCCGGGGACTTCCGGCCGGGGACTTTGGGCGGCAGTATACGCCGTGAAGTGGTTTGCGGCCTGCCAGTAAACCCAAAGCAGAAGAAGAACAAGTGACGTCAGCGGCTTAATTTGCCTAATCCACCCCCAGGGACTTTTTCCAGTGTGAACGCGATCTGTACTTAGTTCATGCGAACTAAAGAGTTCACATGAACTAAGTTCACATGAACCTTTGTGGGAAAAGTACCGCAGTGTGAATGCGCCTCTAGTTATGTAATCCCTATACATTTATTCCTTTACTATCCAATGGGTGTACGAAGAGAGAATAAGACTGTCTTACTGTCTCACATGACATAACCACAGTTACAAAGTCTTTAAATGTCACGGATAAACTGCTTCCCACTTCTTGGCACAACCTGCTCTCACCTTGGAAATCACACCACAACAGTTCTTTCTCTGTCTCTCCCTGTCTCTCATTCCTTCCTCAACAGTTTCCTCTCCCACTCCCATATCCACCGGGAACAACCTGTTTTAGGATGAATCTGACTGCCTGGAGAGAAAAGGGATGCCTGGGGCTTGATGATACAACACAACATCCTGTCCAAGAGAAAAAAAGAGTTGCTGATGGAAGGCAAGAAGATAGAGAGGAAAGGGAGATGAAGTGAGTTGACGAGGAGGCATGAGTGTGTGTAACAAAGGAAAAAGTAAGAAGGTTCATTGTAAAACGATGTAATTAGAGCAGTGGCCAAAAGATTGACAACCTCTATAC